CTGTTATGTGTTAAGGCTCATGTTTTCCCAAGTAATTTATCTAATTAGGACAAAACTGGAACTGAATTGGTAAACAGACAGAGTCGGTTATATTTATCAGAGAGCTCTGTCACTGTGCATTTGGAGTTTCCTTGATCCAGAACACTGCATTTTTTGATATGGCTGAGATCAGTGATGCCCCCTATTTTTACAAACATGAGCTGTGTGTATAAAATGCTTCTTTAACTGGGATTCAGAGCTGACTTTCTGGTAAGCGCTTCCGATTTATAAAGTGAGTAATGTAAGTAAGTACAGTTTATGTAAAATTAATTACCAAATTAAAATTCATATACATTACGAAGTGTTAATTAGAGTGATTGTTCTGAGTGATCTCTACTCAGGAAAGAATCTGGAAAAGAAAGCTTAAAGATATAACCATAAAGTTTTCCATTGCACCTCCATGTTACAGGGGGTGCTTACCTGTACTTGGTTTGTGTTTTGAAACGATAGTATAATTTACAATTTACATTTTGCAAGAGCCAGTCTTTCACTGAATTTTATTTTTAGATCCATTGATCAGTACAGTTTCTGCTTGGGCAACCCTTTACAATCATGATAGGAGTACTTATGTAATTTCTTTTGAATGAGTTCCATGACTGAACCGTAAATCCTTGGAAGCTGAAATTACAATCCTCCCCCTCTGTTAAGCGATGGTTTTTCTCTTTTCACAAACATGGCTTCCTTTACCCCTATTCAAATCATCTGTTCTCTCAGTCCAAGATCTGAACATTTTGATCTTCAAAGGTGTGTCCATTGTTATTGGGGTGCAAGTGTCCAACTGAATCTTGCCCAGAGTTGCTGGCTCTCCTATGCTGTGTTTGTGTAGTTGTTGTTTGGTTTCCCCAACATAGGAGGCTGTACAGTCCTAACTTTGGAGGGGTGCTCCAAAACCTCTAGTACAGACGAACCAAACATCTCCCTGTGCCAGCCAGAACTGACCACGTACACAAAATAGGGTTGACAGCACTCTACTGATCTGCATTGACATGAGAGCTAAGGCATGTAGGGATGTGTCAAATAACTGAGTAGGTTCATCAGACTCAGTACTCTCAATCTATCCTGTCAGACCCAACAGAAGGTGGAATAAAGAATTGCTAAGTCGAGTATCTGAATCATAAGCTTGTGGCAGATTAGATCATCTGTAATGCAACATTGAGAAAGAGGACACCTAGGGACTCAAATCCTCATCAGGAACCACAATGAGGGATGCAATTCCAGCCTGCACAAAACACATATGAACCAAACCAGGCTTGCCACATCCTGCATGGCTGCCAGCATCCTGCTTTCAGACGTCAGCTGGGAAAGGGATATTTTGTCCGTCCAATACAAATGCGCTTCCTTAAGATAGTCATGGGAAACATGTAGGAGAAGAAGAACACACTGACTGCAGCTGAGCAAGGGCAATTCTCTGAGCACCAACAGAAGACCCGTCCTCACCATGGGAATTTCGGGAGGCATGGGAACTGGGCAGCGATACACATGTTGCAGAATCGAACTAGTTCTGAAACAATATCCCAGAAGATGTGACAGAAATC